CGCGCCCCTCGGCGGGCGGGCGCGGGCGTGGGGCGAGCGGCGGCGGGATTGCGCGGTCTTTGAGCAGCCTGGCGCCGCCGGGCGTCGTTGCGGCGGCTGCTGCTGCTGCGGCTGCCGCGGCGGCGGCTGGGGCCAGTGGCAGCTTGTCGCCCACATCAACGGCAGGGGACGCCCATTTGCAGCAGCAGCAGCAGCAGCAGCAGCAGTGGCGACCAGGGGAACCGCCCGCCCCGCCTCCCGACTCGCTGCCCCGCTCACCCAAGACGGGCGAGCCGTTTGGCGCGGGCGCTTCATCGGCGCCCGCACGCATGGCGTCCGTCCCTTCCGAAGCCCTGCAGGCAGCCGCTGCCACATCGCCAGCGCCTGGGGGTGGCACGGCCTCCCCCGGCCCCGTCCCGCCCACGGACACGGCAGAGGCGGCGTCAGCTGCGGCTCGCGGCGCCCACGGCGGCGCACCCGGAGGTCCTTGGGGGTCACTAGACGGCACAGGCCCCCACGCTGAGACGGGCGCCGTCCCGGCGGCGGCGGCGGCGGGGGCGGCGGCCTGGGCGCCGCCGCCAGGTCAGCACGAGCTGCGCACGGGCGACTCGTTCATAAGCAGCAGCGACGACGACGACGAAGGGTGGCCGGCGGACGAGGAAACGCTCACGGACGAGCGCTTCCCGGCAGATAGCGCATCGGCAGACGGCGAGGCCGGGGCCGGCGGCAGCAGCGCCTCTTCTGCGGCCCGCGAAGACTGACCGATGGGGCGGCCCAAAGCCTGGCGCTCTTCCCGCGCCGTCCCCCTCGCGCTGCTGGGCGCGGGCGTGCCGGGCGTTTGGATGCGATTGCGCTCACACCCTTGCTCGGGCGGTTTACATAAGCCAGTATGGCCTTGGCCGAGCACTGCACTGCCCGCGAGAGCCACCGCGCACCTCCGACAGGCGCACCGCCGCATGCTGCGCGCTGCGCCGCGCCCCTGCCCATCATCAAGCCTGTGGGGCCGGTGCGCCCCTGCACTTCTGTCATATCCCCTGCCACTAGTTGCTGATGCCAGCAAAGCGCACAATCCTCCGGAACACTTGTCACCATACACACATCGCCTCATTTATCCCCATCATGCGCCACGAGCACGCACACCCTCAGTGCCCCTCCCCCTTCCATTGCCTTTCCAGCAGCGGCCAGGCTCCCCGCTAGCCTCGCACTCACCACCATCCGTTCCAAAACCCCGCCCTCCACGCCGCCGCGGCGCGTGGGTTGGTGGTGCCATACGTATTCCTCCCGGGGTACTTGCCAGGTCGTTGCTACGTTTCGTGCTCCAGCTTCTTCAACTGATACATGCGTGCACTCGCGCGCTTTATGGATGGGCGCTTGTGGGTTTTTGGGCCCCGCTGTGCTGATCTGGGCACTGCTGTTTGACGGTCCTGCGCCCGGCCCGGCGCACTAACGGTCGGCAATGCGCTGACAGGGACGGCTGCATGTGATAAACGGAATAGCAGCGGTGTCATGCCGACACCCGCGTGGGCTAGTGTAATGCTGCCGGATTCCTCACGCCCCTTGTAATGCAGGGCTTCCGCGCTTGGTGTGCGCGTGCGACAGCACGTTGGCTGGTTGCAGCCTCTGGGGCTTGCTGCTTATGGCGCAGTCGCAGGCAGCTTGACGCAGCTGCCGCAACAGCAGTGGCCACAAACGTGCCCATGACGCAAGCAATTGTCAATGCTGCCATGGCTTTGCGACAAAGCAGGATCATGGCAGGCTTGTGCAAGCTCATGGTGACAACGGACACCACGCATGGGGGTGCGCGCTGGATTGGCGAGGGCGCACTCAAATGCGCACGTGGGTGCAGCGGTTTACGGGGTGTTGATGGCGTCACGCAGCCTGCTTGGTCGAACTGGTATAACTGCGCATGTTCAAACATAGTTCAAACATTCAAGGGTGGGGTGAACGGGTATGTGCCGCTACCTCACTTGCTGATGCCACGTACCCCTTCAACTGTAGTGCTGCAAACACCCCAAGACTCCCTACATACAGCTGTGGGCAGCAGTGCGCCGGTGACCCCCACCTCAACGCAAGGACCGCAGCGCTCGATGGATTCTTGCCTTCGAACAGCAATTACTAGGCAGTGGTTTTGATTGGAATGTCTCATTGTATAAGCGAGGCTCACAAGGCTCTGCGCATCTCCGCGGGCAGATCATACAGTAGATCCTGAAATACGCAGGCATGCTCACCACAAAGCCGATTGTTAAGGAGCTTGTGCTTTTGGGTGGTGGACACAGTCATGTGGAGGTTCTGCGCAGCTTCGGCATGCGGCCAGTCGCAGGTGCGTTGACACCACGGCGACTTCATGGTGGCGTGTCGTGGCACATGCCTGTCAGCGCGCAGAATGCATCGCCAGCTGCCGCCAATCACATGCACTCGGACTCATCGCCCTCTGTGCAGGTACAATTACATAAGCCGTCGGCCCCCGCCGCCCCGCGCTCCGCCCAGCCGCCACACGCTGCCGTCTCGCCCCCTCCCCGCCCGGCCCCCAGGGGTCCGCCTTACGCTGGTGACGCGCGACGTGCACACCCCCTACAGCGGCATGCTGCCCGGCTACGTCAGCGGCTTCTACACGTATGACGATTGCCACATAGACCTGGCGCGGCTCGCGGCGTTTGCGTCGGCGCGCCTCATCCATGACGAGGCTTGCGGAATCGACCCCAAGGCAAGATGACACACCCGTCTACTTGCCGACCGCATCGCGCCGCCACGCCCCCCGTGAAGCCAGCCTGTGCGCATGACATCTTGTCGCGCCAGCTCCTCCATCGACAATTGGAATGCAGGGCTGACTGCTGGGGCCTCTGCGCTGCCCCCCCCCCACACACACACAAACAAACCTGCCTTGCGGCGTGGAGCGGCGCAGCGCCTTGTGAGCTCACTGGTCTCATTTCCCCACCCGCAAACCCATCCAGCCACCACGCCCACCCCGCACCAC